TATATATATATATATATATATATATATATATATATATATATATATATATATATTTATAGATATTAAGCTAGAAAGAAAAATATATATATATATATATGTGTATAATATATATATGTATTATACATATATGTAGTTTTCAAATATCTGCAAAAACAAAAAGTTAATTTAAACTCAAGTTTGAAATTTTTTAATCTAAGTTTTCGTGAAAATCACCCAAATGCCCAGTATAGTTAAGATTATAGTTACTTATCGCCACATTATATGGTTATGATAACATAGTATATGCCTTCAGTGATTTCCTGAAGATAAATACCAAAAAAATAAAGCAACTGGAATAACTCCAGCAGTCGCGATTGTCTGATTTCATATGAAGCAAGAGATCGTGATATGACATGATGATGATGTGTGCAGGTGTTGTAGTGCTGTCCCAATTCTTAAGGCTAAATTTTAAAGCACTCTCCCTTCACACTTGGTTTTAAGGACCAAGGTGAAGGGAAACAAAAATAGAATTGGGATTGGCCCTCTGTATTAAGGACTTTCGTGAGGTGTGAATTAGGAAGGTGTTTGATTTTTAAATGATTAGTGATTGTAAAATGTCTCTGATTCTGACAGAGTGAGATCATGCATTCTGCTTGTGTTTGTGTAGATCCGGCCCCATATTGCGACGCTGAGGAAGTACACGTACGGAAAGCACATTTTGGCCAAGCTGGAGAAGTACTACATGAAGAACGGTGTTGACCTGGGCCCGCTCTGCGCTCCTCCCAATGGCATCATGTAAACCCTTCCCATAAGTCCCGTCGGTGTGCACGCGTGTGTGTGTGAGCGAGCGAGTTTGTCCGAACCCGATAACACAGGGAAGGAGACCATCTTTCCCTCATCGCTGAATCATCCCGGGTTGTTGTGACCTGTTTATTTTTTTCCTCTCCCTTTTAGCATTTCTTTCCTTTTCTTTCCAGTCTACTACCTAAATGATGTACGTATGAAATGAGAGAATATTTGATTTATCCTTGGTTCGGTCATGTAGGCTTGCGCAAACACACTTTATTGCTTCGCGACACCTTTCTAACGCGCATATTCTTTCATAACACACACACACACACACATTATGCTAACACTTGATTGCTAACACGCAGACATTTAGCATGGGAGACGTTTTTGGTCTTGCTTCTATAAACTATTTAGTGCATACTTGGTGTAGAACTTTGCATATATATATAAATATATATATAAAACTTTGTAGTTTTTTCTGGTTTTTGATGTCCAATCTGTATCTATAATCTTCCCCTGTAGTGAATACATACTTCTGATTGTATAATTGTACATTTGTAAACCTTCGCTAATGTAAATGTGGACTCGCTTCTACAGCCTTTTTTGGTATGAGAAGATAAAAAAAACACACACAAAAAAACCCGACAAAACGGAAAAAAAGAAAATCTTGTGCATTTCAGTGTAAATTCTCACCTCTTTGGTTGTGGTTTCTGAGTTATGAGTTGTTATATATTGTAAATTGTAATATCAGATTTTTTTTGTTGGTTGGTTTTGAAGCCCTTTGAATTATTACTGCATAGATGTACAAAGAAACAGAGAAAAGTGCGCACTCTGCTTTTAGCCATTCACCAGCCACCTCTTTTTCACCTCCACTCATCCCCCCTTTCTTTTTTTAAGATCTTTTATAGTCCCTCGGTCGCGGCGGGGCAGGTAGCGGGAGCGCGTCTGTGTGTATGTGTGTGTGTGTGTGACGTGCTCGGCTGCCCCGCTCGGTGGCGGAGGTGTGTACAGATTTGCCATTCTTTTGTCTACTTGTAAGTGTAACATAATGGCCATTTGGTTTTTTGATTTGGAACACTCTCCGGTGTATATTTAAACAGCCTTGTGTATATTTCCTATTCTCTTTATGCAGGCACACTTGTAACCATAATGTGTATAGGTAACAGATGCTGTGTGTGCTTTCTGCCTGGGCAACTATTTTTTGTAACTCCAGTTGTAGATTGTCTCTAAACAATGTGTGATCTTTATTTTGAAACAAAACAATGAAAACATTTCAAAATTTCACAGCCGACTCTGACTCTTCATTTATTTCATGTTTAGGCAGTCATACTTAATGAATTGGATTCATGTTAGTTGCTTTAAATGTGCAGCATGTACGTTTGACACCTAGTGGTTAAACTAAGCACTCTTGGATCAAACGCAGGTTGCCAGATTGGGAACCAACAGGAGCGACTCTGAGCCTAAAGGCTGATTTAAATCATGTCTATATAAAAGCAACGGCATGCGATAGAAGGAATATTTCCATATTAAACATATGAGTTTTTGATCTAACCAACACCTTGAATTGATATATTAGAAACAGCTTCTATTTCTCACAGGTTAACAACAGAAAACTGACAGTAATCAGCTCAGGTCCACCTCATCTGCTTTATTTAGTGTTAAATGCTTGTTTGAATGGCATTTTACATCACATTTATTGCCATACTACTGAAAGCAGCAGCAGATAGTTCACCTCAGATCTTGACAATAAAAAAAACATTTGAAATTAAACTTCAGAACTGTGACTCAGTGCAAACCAACACAAATCAGTGATTAAGCATGTACATTTAATAATGTTAAAGAGGTTTAATATGTATTAGCCAAAGGGTAATTTTTAGAGTAACAGCTGAACTTTTATTTTGAAAAGATAGCAACTTTGGGTATCACCCAGTGGGTATTTTTGTTAAACCACAAGAATAAAAGTTTGAGCTTTTGTGTAGTCGTTTATCAACTTCAAATTTGGTACATACACTCACTGGCCACTTTATTAGGTACACCTTACTAGTACCAGGTTTAACCATTATTTGCCTACAGAACTGCTTTAATCCTTTGTGGCATAGATTCAACAAGCTACTGGAAATATGCCTGAGATTTTGGTCTATATTGACATGATAGCATCATACACATTACTATGATACAAATCTCCTGTTTCACCACATCCCAAAGGTAAATAAAAGCCCCTTTTACACATACAGACGTTTCCGGAAAATTTCCGTAACGTCCTCGCCTATGTGAACAGCGCTTTTTTGAATATACCGGTAAAATCGTTCCGGAAATTTTGCAGATATTTACCGGTATCACTGTGTGAAAAGGGGCTAAAATCTAAAAATTGCGTTAACAAGCAGTTGGGCATTGTACCTAATAAAGTGGCCGATAAGTGTAAATTGATTAGACATATGAATTTGATTTTATAGCAAATTCAGATTCCCTACAGGACTTTATTTTGAAAAGAAAGCAACTTTGTTTACTGAGAATAGAGTCCTGTAGGTAATCTGAATTTGCTTTCAAATCAAATTAATATTTCTAACCAATTTATATACCAGGTTTAAAGTTGATAATCACTACAGATAGACTGTTTCTGAGCGTTTGTGTAGTTTTTTTTTTTTTTACCAATTCTAGCCACCAGATGACCGCCAAATATATTGATTTGTTTTGATCCCCAATAAATTCGTAACAAAACAGTGGCCGAATAGTGACTACCACTTTCCACTAGGAAAAGATTTAATTGTAAAACGTGCAGTACTATTGTAAGATGGTTACAAAACTAAGTGAAAGGATAAAAGTAGTATCAAGTGTCCCACAGATAGTAGCATTTTCCACACATCAGGCTATCCTGCTGTTGAAATGTTCCTGTGGCAAACATTCGACGAAGTTTCCTAATGCCATAGCCTGAGGACACTGATTCACAAGAGATACGCCTGGATGATGAATATTTCTTCATAATCGCTGGTTTAAACTGTACAACTTGCATAACATATTTCCAGGGAAAAAGATAATTGCGAAATGCATACCTTAAATGCACTGGAAATCTTTTCAGATAAAAGTGTCTGCCCGATGCTGATGATGTCGATCGTGCTAACATTAGCCTAGCTGCTGAAATAAAGTTTCAGTAAAGCAGAGATGAAGTTCCCGCCACTATAACGGTAAAGTAAAAACACACCGGGAACAGCAGGGTTAAGATATCATTTTTCCAACCTCTCAGATTTGGATGTGGCTTATATTTTGCATCTCATTTTGATAGAGAGTGAGGTTTTGGCCCATGTAATATGATTTAATAAAACAGCAGCATGGATTACGTCATGCTGTGATCATAAACACATGTCCACCTTTGACGAAACAAGCTTGTAATGTAAAATTAGTTATTTTTAAATAACATTTTCATATGAAAATTCCATTTAAATTGATAAAATGTCATTTTTAGAGTTTTTATCTTGTTTCTAGTCCAAATATCTTAATATGTTTAAACCATTAAGCTTTTTCTTGACAATTAAAAACATTGAGTTTTTCCTTACAAACCATATAAATAATCTACCAATGCTGTGAGTAAAATAGTGTGTTTTATGTAAATAAAATTAATTTATTTGACAAACTGCCAGAATATACTACCTGACAAAAGTCTTGTTGCCTATCTAAAGTTTTAGAAACAACAAATAACAACTTGACTTCTAGTTGATCATTTGGTATCAGAAGTGGCTTATATGAAAGGTAAAGGCCTCTCAACCACGTTCCTGGAAGACCACCAGCTCTGCACATTTTTCATGTCTCCTTTACCAAACACACCTGATTCAGATCATCAGCTCATAAGCAGAGACTGAAGGACCTGTAACGGGTGTAACAGACAAAGGAGACATCCAATACATGCAGTGTTGGTTGTCCTCCAGGAACGTGGTTGAGAAACACCAAACTAGACGACACTTATTTCACCAAAATAAAATATGATCATGTCTTGCTTTTTACCTGTTTAATTAGGACATGGTCTGACTTTGCTTAGACAAAAGTATTGTCACTTAACTGAAACATTGCAAAGCATAGGATATAAAGTCATGGATAGGCCCACACAGAATCTGTGCTCACAGAATCCTGCAGATTTTTAGCCCATCATTGATTCTGTTTATTTACTTGTGTAAATGTGTGTAAATTCATATTCATTCATTCACTCTCTTGTCGGCTTAGTCCCTTTATAAATCCGGGGTCGCCACAGCGGAATGAACCGCCAACTTATCCAGCAAGTTTTTACGCAGCGGATGCCCTTCCAGCCGCAACCCATCTCTGGGAAACATTCACACACACATTCACACACACACACTCATACACTACGGACAATTTAGCTTACCCAATTCACCTGTACCGCATGTGTTTGGACTGTGGGGGAAACAGGAGCACCCGGAGGAAACCCACGCGAATGCAGGGAGAACATGCAAACTCCACACAGAAACGCCAACTGAGCCGAAGTTCGAACCAGCGACCTTCTTGCTGTGAGGCGACAGCAATACCTACTGCGCCACTGCCTCGCCTAAATTCATATTTATTCAGGTTTTAAGTTTATTTCAGCATTATTATTGACTAATATGAAAATATTTCTATGATTTATTTACAATATGGTTTGTACAGTAATATTTTCTGTCTTTTAGTAGAGATATATAAGAGGCTTGCTTTTTTACCAGTTAAAAATGTATTACTTTTTATTTCATACATTAAGGTTTTTTTTATAGTTATGATACTCCCAAAATCATTCCGCATAAATCCACTGACTTTTAACAAAATTCTTGTGCAGAAATAGCAAAAACATGTCTGCAGATTCCGTCTGGCCCTAGTCATGCTGCAGTGGAAACAGAATGAATATTGTGTCTGACTCCATCATGAGCTTGGAGGACTGCATCCATACATCTCTGCACTGACTCAAATCACTGATTAATAACGTCATCTGGAATGGCAAAGAAAGCGTTCCTGCAGGACTCCCAGAGCTCATCA